GAATGGGTGTGGGCTTTCCTTCTGGGGTGATGGGAAGAGTCAAGGATGAGACAGTGGGGGGCTTGCACAACTTTGTGAATATACTTTAAAAGGCAATGCCTGTACACTTTTAAAGGGCAAATTTTATGGTGTGTGAATTATATCCCAACAAATGTTATTCTTAAATGTTCAGGGAAAATGTCTAAAAAGTCTGGGAGTCAGAGATGCGGGAAAGGGCAAGAATGAAATAAACAAGTTGGGAAACCCTGACCTGGAGCCTGCCCACAAGGAGCGTCAGATGCCCATCTGTGTGGTGGCATTTTTATTATTTTTACAGATCTGTAATCTCTTAATGGAAGCCCTGGGGCCAGGTATGTTTCTGAATCCAGAATTTCTTGAGTTTTAGAAGGGTAATATGGTGCACATACACATGACAGTCGGGCAAGGTTTGGGATGGCACCTAATAAACCAACATTGAAATTTCCACAGGAAAATGGACATAGACGTGCTTTCACACTGGGTGAGCGACCTGAGGGCTCTAAGTCCTCACTGTCTAATAAAGAAGCACGTGTGGCTATCGGGCTCTCAAAACATGGCTAGCTGAGTTGAAATGTGCCCTGACTGTAAACACCTCTCCCCCTCCCCACCCAGATTTCAAAGGCTTCATACAAGAAAAATAATATTTTTAAAAGAATGTAATGGCTACCATCAACAAATCTTCAAATGACAAGTGCTGGTGGGAGTGCAGACTGGTACAGCCACTACGGAAAACAGTATGGAGGTTCCTCAAAAAATTAAAAATGGAACTGGAACTGCCATTTGACCAGTGATCCCACTACTAGGGAAATATCCTAAGAACCCCAAAACACCAATCAGAAAGAATCTATGCACCCCTATGTTCACAGCAGCACAATTTACAATAGCTAAGATCTGGAAACAGCCCAAGTGCCCATCAGTAGATGAGCGGATAAAAAAGCTGTGGGACATTTACACCGTGGAAAACTATGCAGCTGTAAAGAAGAAGGCTCTCTTACCCTTTGGGACAGCATGCAGGGACCTGGAGAGGACTGTGCTAAGCGAAATAAGCCAGGCAGAGAAAGACAAGTACCACACGATCTTACTCAAATGGGGGATCTAATGAACAAAATAAACTGATGAACAAAATAGATCCAGAGACACANGATCTTACTCATATGGGGGATCTAATGAACAAAATAAACTGATGAACAAAATAGATCCAGAGACACAGAAGCATGGAACAGACTGAGGAATCTCAGAGGGAAGGCAGGGGTGGGGGAGTGGGTGGGGAAAGATTAATCAAAGAACTTATTGAAAAGGTAATATTTTGGATCTACTGGATTAAATAAAATAAATCATTAAAATTCATTTCACCTGCTTCTCAGGTTTTTTTTAATGTGGCTACTAGAAAATTTGTAAGTGACCCTGTGGCTTGTCTTTGTGGTTCATATTATGTTTCTACTGGGCAGGGGCCGCTCCAAGGAATCTTCCACCAGTTTGGCACAGGTGTGCCCTCAAATGAATTTATTCCAAACTTATTTAAAAAAAGAAGGCTTTGTATTTCAGCGTGTTGGGATTTCTGCATTGTAATCACAATTGCTAGATCAAATGTGCAGCCTGTGGGCCTGGAGAATCTGGTGAGAAGGAAAGGGTGGGAGCCCCTCTCCCAGCCTTTGGCCAGCTGGCTCCACAGCCAGGCCTGGCCTGACTGATGCCCCCACCCCCTCAGTCAGTCCCCTGCGAGTGCCCTTCCCAGAGCCTTCTGCCCAGGCCACCCCCACTGCTGGGTCAGCCCTGCCCAGCCACTTGTCTGCAGCTCTGCAGGAGGAAGGGAGGGAGGAAGCAGGGGGAGGCGCGTGGGGGTGGGCTGGCTGGGCTGAAGTCTCCACAAGCCTCAAGCAGAAGCCAGCCATGTCCAGCCTGGGACTCCTGCTCCTGCTCCTGCTTCTGCCACCGCCGCTATTGCCCTCCTCGCTGCCACCACTGGACACCCCAGAGGGCAAGGCGACCATCACTGGCCTCATCCTCTCGTCGCTGGAGAGAGCTACCTCCTTCTTGGAGAAGAGGCTGCCCGAAATCAACCTGGATGGCGTGGTGGGGTTCCGGGTGCTGGAAGGTGGGTCTGCTCCCGTTGCCCTGAACTGGCCACCAGGAAAACCAGTTCCCACTGTGTCACCTGCCTGCTCTGCACCTCTGGGACCTGACCACCTTATGGTTTAACCATAAGGAAAGGGGGATGGGGTGGGGGGCAGCTTGCTTCTTTGGGGTATCTGGAGGCCCTGCTATTATCAAATTTTTTAGAAGAGGGGAGGATTCGAAGGCCACATAAGAAGAGATTAGGAAATTATTATTTTCCCTGGAGGAAATGATCCATTCGACAGTCCCTCCCTCCTGACATGCTATGAACAAGGTGGGCTTTGAAGGGGTATTTATGGGAGGGCGGCCATGGGCAAAACCAGGGACCCCCAGGTAGGTTCTAGCCCCAGCACCCCCTACTTCCAGCCAAAGCCACCAGGAGGCTGTGAGAAAAGAGTCAAGTGTTTGTTCAGCTTTGAGAAATATAAGATCCCCGAGGAGGGAACTGGAGACAGGCCAAGGCAAACAGGGAGCCACCCCACACACACAATGAGTGGCTGCCACCCTAAGTGACAAAGAGCCAACTGGATATCAGCAGGGGACTCTGGATACCCCCCCCTCCCCAGTCAGCTCCTCTGCGTTGCCAGTGCAGCTTGGGGCCCAGGACTCCAGGTCCCAGCAGGAGGAGGGGCTCGGGGACAAAGACATCTCCTTTCTTTCTGGCCACCACCATCTCTCCCACCCCTGCAGGGCCCACTGCTGGTTGGTCCATAGGGCACCTTTGTGAGAATTAGAAAACTCACCCCTTCCTCAAGTCACTTGACTGCCACCTGCTGGAAAATTGTCTTAATACGTATACAATCCCATGACAGGAACGTGTGTTGTCCTTGTGCCGTGTGCAGCTTGCTCTGCTGCACATGGTGGTCCTTCGCCCTACAGTCTGAATCCCTCCCTTACTTTTCTCTCCTGTATAACAACCCCGTCTCCCTAATTAATACCAATAGCTAAATTTTATTAAGCACTTTGCACTATGGACAATGCTAAGTCCTCTCCTGCATTAGTTCGATTAATCCGTATAAGCCCTCCTTCAAGAAGCGAGGACTATTTTACAGAGGAAGAAAATGAAGAGGAGGGAAATTAAATGATTCTCTGGTCACCCAACAAAAAAGCATTAGTCAGGATTTGAACCCAGGCCCACCTCTAGATATCTTAGACACCCACAGCCTTCTGTCACTCCAGCTCCAGCCCCACCACCCAGCTGAGCCCCACAAAGGCCAAAGGCCCTAATTTCCAACAAGCTCAGCAAATCCCCTCCCCCTCCAGGAGTGGAGGAGGCAGAGAGGCTCAGTAAGCATTACACCTTGGGATCTTGTTTCCTCTCCGCGTGGCTTGTCAGATGGTGGAACGAGTGTTCTCTGTTCCCTCCCAGTGCAGCTAAAAGGCGTTGAGGAGGAGTGGGCCCGGGACCCCTGGCTGCAGCCCCAGAGCCTGCACGTGGGCCGGCTGGTGCGGAGGCTGGAGCCTCTCCTCCGCCGATCCATCTCCTACCTCGAGCTGAGTGACCCCCAGTACCTAAGAGGTAATGGCCTTCTTCAGGAACACAGCCTCTGGGGGTATTTACTGAAACAACAGTGCGGCTCCTCCGGTGCAAAGGGAGGGTCCGGACGGCTTGTAACTGACTCGTCCTGGAGGCCAAATGTGCCACAGGCTGACCCTGGGGAATGTCTGTTCATCCTTGACTTCAGGTTGAGACGACCTCTCCCACCCACATAGAGGGGGTGGAAAGTAGAAAATGCCGCCCCTCGTCTGTTCAGCCTGTGCCCAGGCTTGGGGAACTTCCTCCCACGCCAGAGGGGATGGGAGGTGGGAGTCTAAATGGTAATTGGGCCCTTTGCACAGCAAATATTAGTATCTTGCTAGCATAGCTCCTGTGCCTTATAAAGCTGAGTTCCTTCATCTCACCAGCCTTGAGCTGCCCAACCAAGGGCCCCATCCTATGAGCCTGGCCTGAACTGTTCCAGGGGCATAGACCCAGGAGTCATGCTCATCTGACCTGTCTCCCAGGCTCTCAGCTCACGTCAGGCCCCACTACATGTGGCCACAGCCCAGCCCTCCCTAGCCCTGGCCTCCCACTCTTCAGAGGAGAGCCTTCACCCTCTCCCAGGCCTGGTCCCTGAGCCCCTCCCAGCTCGTGTCATCCTAGAAGCCCCTGGGCTGGGTATTTCCATTATAAGAGCTTCACTTCCTCACCGAACTGAAGGAACCAACTAACCCTTTATTTTTTAATATGTTTTTATTGATTTTAGAGAGAGGGGGAGGGAGAGGGATAGAGAGAGAAACATCGATGAGAGAGACATCCATCCGCTGCCTCCTGCACTCTCCCTACTTGGGATGGAGCTCGCAACTCGGGCATGTGCCCTGCCTGGTGACCTCTTGGTGCCTGGGATGACACTCAACCAACTGAGCCACACCGGCCGGGCCCAACTCACCCTTTTTATCCATCGTAAGCTTCCACGGATGCAATGGATTTAGCCAAAGGCAATTCCAACATTGTTCTAGTAAATTTTTGTATGGTTTTTTGTTTTGTTTTATTTAGACTTTAGAAAAAGAGCCTCCTGAGTGTTTCCAATAGTGCCCAGGCAGCAGGCAAAGCTTCGAGCCCTGAGCAGACACTGTGTGTGGTCAGGGATGCCCAGGGAGGATCACCCAGTTCCTTAGGTCTAAGCCACAAGAGCCTGGGGGTGGTTAAGCACAGCATGGCCCACTGCACGTGGGGCTCTTCCCCCACCCCTTCTTTCTGCCAGAGTTCCAGCCAACCGTCCAGCATGGATTTTGGAAGCTCCCACACGCCTGGACGCACACCAACACCTCCATGGTGTACCCCACGGTCGAGACCCAGGACTCCTTCTCAGAGGAACACAGTGACTTGTGCCTGGTGCAGCTGCTGGGAACCGGGTAGGCCCCCTGTGCTTGCCCCGCTTCCCAAAAACCCAAAAGCGCTTTCTCTCCACCAGTCCTCCTGTTCTACTAGCTCTCCAAGTCCCCAAGGGTTGATACAAAACCAGGAGCAGCTTCCCCAGAGCCACCCTGACACCGCCCTCTCCCACCCCCATCTCATGTGAGTCAGGGCCCACTCTCCACCCAAAGCTGCCACCCTGGCCCAGCACCCCCCCCTCTGCACTCCCACGCTCACCTCCTGACTGAGGGATCTTCTCAAAACCCACACCTGAAGCTTCCTGTTGTTCTCAAGACAAAGCCTTACCTCCTACCACCCTTCCAGGTACCCAGGCCTCTCTGCTCCAACCCTGAGAGGCACCTTCCACTATAAGCCTGTCCTTTTGCTAAGAATACACCTCTATGGGGCGCCCTCCCACCCCACCCACCTCNNNNCCCACCCCACCCACCTCACCCCTCTGCCTAAGTAACTGCTCACAATTGAAGACCAGCCCCAGCATCCTTCCTCCAGAACCTTCCCTGACCCCACTGAACGAGGCTAACCTCCCATGATGGGCTGCCCCTCCTAACACCATAGGTAGCCACAGATGCAATATACATTTGTTTTGGGTTCTGTTTCCCCACCTGGCTATGGGTCTGGAGAGCAGGACCCGAGCCCAGTTTAGCTCCCCCTTTCATCCTGCTGAGCCTTGGCCTTGGAGCATATCCCCAGGGCAACCCTAGATGCAGGGACCGCTGTGCAGAGGGGCAGCAAGTGCTCAGGCCACCATCCTCTCAGCACCCTTCAGAGAGGTGTTTGGGCCAGGACACAGCTGGGCTCATAGAGGGTTTGCGCTCCATCAAGCAAGGGACCTCCCCCCCCTCTCCCCGGCCGTTGCCCCATCACTTTTATGGGGCAGGCCTGGCACAGAGGGAAAGGGCATGCCGGGCCCAGACCCCAAGCTGTCTGGGCTCAGAGTTCCCGAGAAGCAATGGGAAGTTGCAGACTCCAGTGGCTCCTCCAAACCCAAGTTAGCCCCGGGTCACCTCCCTGTGCTGGGGGTACGGATTTAGCCAATCAGAACCCAGATGCCTGTGTTTCCTCTAGCAGCCCCTTGAGCCCAGCTGGGTGCCTGCAACCAACAGGGTTCTAATGACTAGTGGGGAACCGGGCCCAGGGAAGGGTCCAGGCCTTGGGGCTTCCTGTAGGACGCCCTCACCAGCCTGGAACCACCTCTACCCCAGGAACGACAGCAGCCCGCCCTGCAGCCTCTCGGACCTCTGCAGGACCCTCATGACCAGGCCTGGCTGCTTAGGTTACGGCCTGTCCCACCAGCTGCTGTTCTTCCTGTCGGCCAGGGCGGTGAGTGCCCCAGCCAGGCCCTGAGGAGGTGAAGGCACACGAAAGGGGGCTTGTGGCTAGTGGTCCTGTGGGCACCACACCGGGAAAACAAGCAGGGTTGGGGACTTGTGCTTCGGACATTAGAAGGGAGAAGTGGGAGTAGCCTGCCATCCGCTGGCCATAAAATCTAACCAAGCTGAGGGGAGGGA